GAATGAGTTTCTATTTATCATGCAATTACATTTATTTTCAAGGGTAAAATAAATCGAAAAATTTTATTATTGAGGTCAAATGTGAAAGAAAATTAATTTTCCTCCCAAAATCTTAAAAAACCATAGGGAAAGGATGTTTTGATTCCAAGATATTTGGACATTGTGGAGAATTTTAAAATAGTCCCAAGAATTAAATACATGAACCAAACATAGGAATCATATTATGAAAAGCAAGATTCTAAGGAAAAATCTTAGATTCTTTCAAGCAAATACCCCTTAAATGTTTTGTTTGGGGCTTTGTATTTTTTTTTTAACAAATCCGCCTTTGTGTAAAACCTCAAAATATTTTGGTTTATTGATCTTTATTTTTTCTATTTTTATCAAAATTAGTTGATGAATTTTAGAAATAAAAATCGTAATAAAGTTTTAGAAGTTTTAATTCGCATCAAATGGACAATTAGATTTGAAAAGGTCAAATGCCTAATTAATCAAGTCACACATTAGTGATTGGATTTAGTTTAACAATCCATAAAAGTAGAAAAACTCTATTTATATAAATGAATTGACAAGGACCAAAATTTTCACCCCGCCAAAGTACAGTACAGGGATTTCTAATAAGTTTGACTTTTTTAATTTCTTGTAGTACTATATTTAAATGTTGTACTTTAACACAAATTTCATGCAATCAACAGTCGAAGATAAGTTTCTATTAGCACAAATAAAATAGATTTGGCTAACAAATAAAATAAAATAAATTGAGTTTAGAGTAGCTAGGTAAGTATTTGCTTAGTGCATGCCTATTTATTGGTTCATTCCAAATATAAGCATTACTTGTGCTCAAAATCCCTTCATCCAACCAAAGACCTAATCAAAAATTTTGGTTTCTAGTTTGAGGATGAATGTCTTATTTAAAATTAAAGGTTTAGAAGATTTTTTTTTAAATGATAAACAATGAAACCATAGAAAATATTCGAACCATTTAATATTTTGTACAATTTATGTGTTAAGAAAATTCTTTGCAATTAATAAAATTTAAATAGGTATATACTAGATAGTTTCCTGCATGTTACTATAATTCATATTGTAGTTTCTTTTGCTTGACTGATGACATTACTTATGCTATTTTCTAAGGTATCCTTATTAGAATATAGCCTAAATAGTAGATATTAACGTCCGCAAGATAATGATTCAGACTCATCCTTATTGAGAACCTTTTTCAATAGAAAAGTTTATTTTTCTCACCCCTGCATTAATAGCTTAGGTGATCATAAAGGCTATTGCTTTCTTTTTTCCTTATGTCTTAAAATTGCATTCTTTTTTCCTAGCATAAGCTATTCTACCATTATCCATTATAGTTGTTCACATATTGCAAGAAAACAAATTATAGGATTTACATAATATAAAATAAACAAAAAATAGTTGAAAAAGTTGTTCAACCATCACAGAAATTGTTTATTTACTTTGTTATGCAGAATCAATTAAAGAATAGCAAGAACAAACATGGTATGCTAGAAAACAAAAATAAATAAGCCTTAGGAAAGAACAAATGCATAAATCTATCATAATTATGAGAAATAGTTAGAAGTAATTCATGTTTTCTAATTGAAGCAATTTAAAACAGTTTATATCTAATACATTTGTTTTAATAGAACAATCATACATGTAATCTTCTTACTTAGAAAGATAAAACATTAAATAACAATAACTCAACATTTATTTAGACTATCCATCAAGCAAGCTCTCAAACTCTTGCTTATTATAACTAAGATTGGTAAGTTATTAAAAGTTGACTTTATAAGAGAAGTACTTTACTTGATTTTTCTTCTTTTCTTAAGGCAACTTGGTACTCAAGGGGGAGAATCGATAGTTGTTCTGTTAAAGTAGTGGTAGGTGTAGGAGTTGCTGCTTTCAAGAATTAGCCCCGACCAATCGTCTTCCCTGTGAGCTGATCCTGCGCAAGACACCCAGTGTGAGAAAAAGTGATAGTACAACCATGATCAAAAAGTTGTCCAAGAGATAAGAATGCACAGGTATAGTCAACCCAAGTAACCAAATATAAAATGTTGTAATAAGAAAAAAAAAGGCAAAATGAAATAAGATAGGAAGATATGACTTACCATTTTCTTCTTCCCTTTTTCATAATCTATGGCAATATCATCATAATTGTCGTCATATCTTTATCTTCATCTCATAGTTATGGTTATTTAAAGCTCTTGAACTTTTAGACATAGTAGTACTAATAAAAATATGTTTTAAATGTGACCTATTATTTAACCCAATAGAATTACTAAAGGAGACACTTATTAATAGAGTCAGAAACATATTACATTATAGAACAAAATCTGATACACTAAAGTATTAATGTTATCAACTTTAATGATATCAATAGTTGAGACATTGCACCACATAACTTATGTGTTAATTCACTTTTTCTAGACTTATACAAAAGAGTACAGGTTTTAAAGTTTTTCTTTTAAATGAATGCTATAGTAAGTAGAATTTTAAAGCAATAGCAAGAGTGTAGGTAAATATCATGATTATGCTATTTTATAGTGCCATATCACCTAACATTATAAAATAAATCTTTTCCGTCTTTCCTAACAACCTACAATGATTCATTAAGCAAACAATTAATGTTATAAAGAAATATAGCTTAATTTTGCAGGCAAAGGCAGTTTTCTGTGAAGGTGATATGCAATTTGTTATAGTTTTCAATAAATTGGTTGTTAGAGCACCAAAATCAACAAATTAGACTCTTTGACGTCAATCGGATTACACATATTAGAAAAATAATTGGCATAATCAATAATGATAAATGGTTTTATAGTTTCAAAAAGGCATTTGGTTTACTTGCTTAGGAACAATTAGGTAATTGTACATGGCCTAAAAAATAGTTTAGATGGTCATAAAGTTTCATTTACAATGGAAAATAATGTAAAGTTTCTTTTCTTGCTAAATTACATTTGAATATGAAAATGAGTTAAAAATATAATAGTAATAATGAATGAAAAAAAAACATTATACCATAAAGGATATTGAAAACATACCCATATGCTATTGTAACAAAATCATCATACAAAAATAATTTTTAAAACTCATTGTGTAACATGTTGGTTTTCATTTAAGAGTTGTCCCCATTTAGGAGACAACTTTTATTGTATATTATTGATTAATCTACATGTAGAGAAGGTATTATTGCTCTTATAACGTCTATCCAAAAATGATACCAATTAATCTTATAATATCTTAAAATGGTCTATCTAAATGGTTTTTTATTCTTAATTGAATTTCATTATTTGAAATATTAAAATGTTTTTAGGTTTTCTCCTATATTTTGATAGAATTATGAAAAAACTCTCTAGCATCAAGAGTATTCAAGAAATTCATATTTTTTAAAGAAACTCTATTAATGGATTAATTTAAAATTTTATAGAAAAAAATGTCATGTTATTTTATTTTTGATTTTACCAACCTTTATTTTTACCAAATATTTTATTAAGAGTAAATAAAATATTTATCATTGAAATACTTCCCAAATCTTTCCAACACTTTTGAAGATTCTAATAAAATTCTTCACTTACGAATTTCAAGCACCACTTACAATTTTCTTTTAATTTCATCATTGAAAAATTTTTATTTATTTCCAAAATTTTTGAAATTTATATGATACAAATGAATAAGTGCATAAATAAATTTATTTGTCTAACATATATTTTTAGTTTTTTTATGTTTGTCAAATGATCAAAACATATTCCTAATTTAAAATTTTAAATATGTATGTAAATAAAAAATAAAATTAATTAATAAGAAAATAAATAAATAAAACTAAAAAGAAAAATAAAAATACCAAAATAAAAAATAAAAAATGATTACCATATGTAAAAAAAAAAAAGTCAAAACTTTCTTGAAATCACCCTCGACCAATTTATTCCATGCCCTAAATAATCTCTAATCATTATTTTGTCCCATATTAGGTGTCTTTAAAATTGAAAAATGGAGATAACTTTTATAGATTTTATAGATTATTTTCAAAAATTTTGTGAACGAGGAGATTTGAATTTTTTATTTTTTAAAATTACATTAAAACCTTACCATTATGCTAGGTACATGTTTTTATTTACTATAAAGACCTTTTAAAATGTATTAATTATATTTATTATTTATTTTATAATATTAAAAGTATATATTCAACACTAACATTAATTTTTTTTATTACTTTTTGTATTGGATTGATCAATCGAACTTATCGAACTAGGGTGAGTTTGGGGCCAGGATGGAAATAAAGGGGTTGGAGGCCCAACTGCACAGTGAAATACATATGAGTAGCACCCTATTGGTGCAAGTGGAGGCTCCGACTGCACTACTCTTCTAGTTTTTATTGAAAGGAGAAAGATTCATCGGCTCATTGGATCTTTGGATGGTCGACTGTTTTGTCTAAAATTGTCAACCGTTTTAGTGTACAATTGAAAGAATAAAAGAATTTTTAGTTTAATAATTGATTCATATCGTATCTAAATACATACTTCAACATTAATTTTAATTTTAATATTACAGCAACTAATTTTACAATATCTGTTTTCAATTTCAGTGTAGAATTATCTCCTCGAATGAACCCGTGCTAATGACGCACCCATGTCGTTAGTTTGGGAGGGCCCTTCTTTTTCTTTTTTTTTTTTTTTATCGAAAGGTGAATTTCGATCATTGATTTGACAAGTCGTCCGGTGTCAGAATCATTGGTTTGGGAGGGGCCCTTCTTTTTCTTTTTTCATTTTTTATCGAAAGGTGGAAGAAAAAGAGAATACCCAACTCCCTCACCTAACGCATTATGAGTCCCCCGTCTTTTCTTTCTCGAAATTAGTTTTATCAACTCAACATTGATTTCGAATTGGAATCCAGACATGGTTAAGGCAAATAAAATCTTCTTCAGATTATTTCCACATGGTTCATATAGAGAGAGAGAGAGAGAGAGAGAGAGAGATAGAGAGACTGCATCATCTCCAAACTTTAATCATAGTTTTTTATTTCTTTAAAGTGTAAGAAGTAAAATAAACCATCCCACCCTCATAGAAATAATTGAAAGTGGCCGACAATCAAAGCAAGCATGCATCAACACAGAAAATAACTGAATAAAATTAGGTCAAATATTCAATAATGCAGCACATAACAAGAGTACTCAACTATGGCGTCTCCTGTCTTGAGGTTAAATGTATGAGTTCTTGCCTGAACATAGCCTCTCGCGAACCGGAAAAGGCCGCTGCCTCCGATCACCGGCATCTCTCTCACCTTGTTGAAAACTATGTTTCTCCCCAGCACTGTAATGGTGCTACCGTTGTATTTTCCTTGAGTAAAAGCAAAGTTCATGGACATCAACAGGCCTATTTCTTCTTGTGATGAGAGTGCATAGAATCCTTGTGCCCTTCCAACCATTTTTGAGCTTAACTGAGGCCCCTCGGTTAACGGATCATCTATCATGCTGATTATACCGAACCCCGTTGCCGATATGTTTGAGGGTTGAACTACTCGGACAGATGTAGCGTTTCGACCACTGACAATGTCATGCCAATAGATGCGAAAATGGCTTAGCTTTTCTTTCTTTAGATCCAGCACCCCCCGATCGAGGCTTCTCACAAAGTCATGATCATCATCTTCTCTGGTACATTGGATGAGGCCAGATGAAGACAGAATGGATAAAAGGATGAATTCGAAAGCTAAGACGAGAAGAATTCTATCCATCTGCCCCTTTTTTTTTTGGATTTTCTTGTCGAGTTGGAACAAGAACTAGCTAGTCACGGATATGCCTATTTATAGAGAGATTAGGCATTGAATCCCTATTAAATAATTTCTAACCAATATATATAGGGAGAGAGTGTATAGTGGAGGACTACTTTACACAATAGAGATTAGGCATTGAATTCCTATTAAATAATTTCTGACCAATATATACAGGGAGAGAGTGTTTAGTGGAAGTCTATTTTACACAATATAAAATTTTTTAATTTTACGTATTTTTTTAATTATTAATTTTAATATAATTAAAAAAATAAAATTAATCATTTTTTTATTTTTATTCTTTTTTTCGTCATTTGAATTTATTAAAATTAAGTGTTAAAAAATATGTATTTTTTTTAATTTATACTATATAAATTGATTCCTCCTTTGCAGCTTATAGTTGACATACATTATATAAATTTTAGAATAAATTTCATATACATCCTTTATGATATTCATATTCCAACATTCATCTTCTGTGCAAATTATTTTCCCACATATAACCTTGAGATTTGCTGCCTTTATCAAAAGGGCTTACAACGTTACTGAATTACTAAAATGATATTATTACCCTTAACCTTTAACTCAAAATTTCAAAATCTGTGACATGCCTTTAAAACCCTAGGATTAAATCTAAAAAATTAAAATTATCACAAAATAAATAAATTAATCTTTCAATTTTATTTCCCAATTTCCACGTTCTATTCAATTGAAAAGTAATAAACTCAAAATTTTATATCCCAAAATTAATTGAGTTTTCATTTCATATGTAATTTTGGATAAAAAAAAAGAAAAGAAAAAGAACAAAACCTATAACTCCAAAATCCCAATCCAAGGGAAGAAGAAGAAGAATGGGAAAAATGGTTCCTTCCTTTCGGCCAGCAATCTCAAATTCTCTTATTAGAAAGCTGCCTTTACAGTCCCCAACCACAATTCCCCATCAGTTTCCCGACAAAACCTTCAACAAAAAACTACCTCAACATTCTAAGAAAGCCAACGCTTCCCTAAGATCCCGCAAAACCGAACCCCTACTCAAATTCCCAGACCTCTTAAGTTCCAACAATAGATGCCAAAGCTCAAAGCTCAAAAACCCAATAAACAATGATGTTTCTATGAATACACTTTCCAGATTATCAATCAAACTAGAAAACTCAAAAAGAAAAATCAAAATCAAAGTTTGTAATAATTTATTTTTTATTTCGCTATTACAATAACAATTGAAACCTGAAAAAAAAATCAAAGCCAGAAGTCTCACATTCAACCACTCAAATCTCATTACCTAAAAATTCAATTCATTCAAATTAAACTATTCTTCAACTGAAGCTAGGATTTGAAGGTAGTTTTGATTGTGTTAGTGGCTATTCAGATTCATCACGAGTTTGGGACTGAAAATTCAAAGAGACCTCGATTTAGGGTTTTGGGCAATGAACTGAAAATTCAAAAGAGACCCAAAGATTAACTTTGAACAAAGAAGGTTGCCTACTAAGAGCAATGCCATTAACAAGAGCAAAAGAATGAAAGTGATAATAAAGAAGCTGTTTTTTAGCTTGAAACACTGTTTTACAAATGGATTTGTAGTGCTTGTAACGGATTTAACATGGGATGGCAATGAAAATCTTGATAACCCAGAGCCACCACCGTTTGACATCAATATCACCAGATTCAACAATGTCAAATATGTTGTCAAGAGACTTTCTTTGAACTTGGTTTTTGTTTTAGTGATCAAAAGACTAAAATTTTGTTTTAGAGTGTGTTTAGTGCGGAGGAATTCACAAATTTTTTTTTTTCAAAATTTTGATGTGGGTATTTGATTCACATATTTGATTTAAGATAATCCATCGTTCAATATCAATATCACTAGATTCAACATTGTCAAATATGTTGCCAAGAGACTTTCTTTGAACTTTGTTTTTGTTTTAGTGATCGAAGGACTAAAATTTTGTTTTAGAGTGCATTTGGTTCAGAGGAATTCACAAATTTTCTTCCGAAATCTTGATAGTGGGTACTTAATTCCCACGCTTGATTTATGGTAATCCAATTACAAAAAAAAAAATGTCAAATTTTCAATAGTATCCAAAATCTCGAAATCAAAAACCCATATCTCCTATGGTATTCTAAGATTTCAAGAGGAAAAGTTGTTTCATTTTTAAATTTAACATAAATAAAAAATAATGAAATAATCGTTACCTTTTTGAAATATATGTCTGAAAGTGATTAGAATTTAGTTGTAGGTTTTTGTATAAATTTTTTTTTATATTGTAATTAAGGTGTTTGGCTTAAGGAAACATCTTAAATAATCTTTTTATATTTTTATAAAAATATTATTTGAGGCATTTTCTGTACAGAGACACCTTAAATATCTTTTTATATTTTAAGGTTTAGGATTAATATTTTTATAAAAGGATTATTTAAAGCATTTTTATACAAAAAATGCTTTAAATAATCATTTATAAAAATGCCTTAAATAATCCTTGTATATTTTAGGGTTTAGGGTTAACATTTTTATAAAAAGATTATTTAAGGTATTTTCTATATAAAAACCCCTTAAATGATCCTTTTATAAATAAATTAAAGGAACATTGTTAATTTTTTCTATGATATAAAAAACGTGGCAAACACATTAATTGATCTTTTATTAAACAATTTTTTCTATCAATTTTTGTTACTAAAAAAAGTGCCAAATGTCTCAATTGATGATATTTTATAAATAAAAATAACAATCAAATAAAATATTTATCTTCTTTTGCTGCTAAAGACATTATTTGTTATTTGGGTATTTATCATTAATAAAACAAAATAAAAAGTTATCATCATATATGTCAAGAAAATTATATTAGTTGTACAAGAATTAATATATGTAGATTCTTCCAACTAAACAAATGAATCTGAACACATGATGCTTTGAAAATGGAAGAAAACTTCAAATATCGTACTTTCCTAAGGATCACACTTTCTCTCAAAATTTAGATTGTGTGAACTAAACGTCTCTTTAGTAGTTTCGTGTGTAGAGAGAAGAAAAATGAGATAATCTAGTGAAAATAGATAAAAATGATGGAAAGAAATTGAAACCAGAGACGAAAGGCTTAAAATAAGGGTATAATGGAAATTTTATGTCAATTAGTTTGGCCATGCCAAAAAAAATTACAAAATTCTAATGTTCCAAGTCCTTTCGGAAATGGCAGCATAGCTCAAAGTTGTAAGGGAGAAAAAATTTGTTCAGGGGTAAATGTGAAAAATGTTAAGGTAACAGTCTATGTACGTGAAATTTATCCTAAATTTTATATATTATCATTAAATTATGGAATACCACATCATTAATAAATAAACTTAAACATTAAAAAAGTTGTTATATATAGTATGGAAACATATTATATACATATAATAATTATACAAATTTCATATTTGGACATAAAAATAAGGATTAAAATAAAAGAACTTAAAAAAAATATATGTGCAAGTTATGTATATATATATTATCATATATATAATAATATAAAATCAGTGATTTGATTGGTGTCAGTAGTTAAGTGACAATAATTTAGTTAGATAATGTTTTGTATCATTTTTAAATCACCATGGTAAATTAATTATTGAAAGTGATTTTATCACTAAGGTCATCTTATCATTAAGGTCATCTTACCACTCACTACTTGAAATAATTTTATTTGGTTAACAATCATTAGTTTTATTTGAAATTAAAAATCATTATGTTTGATATTATTAAAAATCGAACATTATTTTATTTGAAAGGACCCAAATAACCATACATATTATAACAGTTATACAAGTTAATAATTTCAATATTATTAAAGATAATAATTTGTAAAATATAAGTAATATTTTATTTACTTCATAATTAAATAAAATTTAATTATTAAATTAATAAATCTATTTATTAATAGATAAATTAATTTTTATAATATAAATTATTTAAAAATTAAATTAAAAAAATAAATCTAATCCATTAAAATAATAACAAAAAGGAAATAATAAACTAAGAGCATATCACTTACAATTATTACACTACAATTAACCAATTATAATTCAAAATTGTTTATGATTTATCAAAATTTTATATGGAGCCCACAATTATAAGTGTGGACCCTTAAATAATTTTTTTTATTATAATTGGATAATTTTAGGATTGTAGTAAAAAGAATTGTAGGTGAAATACTTCCTAAAAAATATATTATATAAAATATTCAAAAAAATAAAAAATACAAATTATTTTTGAACTTGTTATAATAAATATCATTTTAAAATAAAACATATAATTTTGAGAGAAAACAAGTTTTTAATTAAGATATTAAATTGGTAATTTTTTATTATTATTAAGTTTACATATCACTTCATTTTGGTGATAAAAATTTTTGACATTTTTTAATGTGATCAACCTCCAATAATAATCAGATCACTCTCAATAATCTAAGATTACTACCACATAAGTAAAATGCTGTAAAACTGGCTTAAAATATTTGTATACACATGTGATAAATATATAGAAGTATGAAAGCTTAGATAAGTGACTTATCTATGTGTGTAGGTGTAGTTTAAAATACAAAAAAATAAAATCAGCTTGACTAAGTTTATTTATATTTGATGACTCAACTTTTTAAACTTGCACTTGATTTATCTATATCCATAATATGACCCCAGAAGATTGAGGCACCATTGGGGACTCCAATCTTATAGAGTAGCATTTGAAACTATGGCTTGGACAAAGGCTTTGTAAGCATATCAACTAATTGGCCCTTTGTAGAAATATGTTGTACTTGAAGTAAACCTTTAGTAACTCTATCCCTTATAAAATGAATATTAATAAAAATGTGTTTCATTTTTTAAGGCAAGGCAATATTAGTTGATACGTAAGTGGCTCCCCTATTATCATAATATATTAGAGGTGTTGATGCAATTTAATTTGCATTTCAGCCAATAACTTTTAAATCCAAACTAAGACTAATGCTATAAATGTTGTCATAATTTTTGAATTTGAGAACTTAACTATTAGCACAAAAAAGATAAAGTCGCCACAAATCTTTTTCACCTCAGCGCTTAATTCTTTCTCCTC